CCCCCCCCCTTTTTTTTTCTGAAGACATGTTCATTTTCTGGTTTGCCATTAAAAGATTATTTGTAATAATCTTGAATGACAAAATTTCATTTTGATTCATTCCAAAGTGTGCACATATATTACTCCTAAGTTACAGTAATGCATTCCCACTTGTTTAGGACCACACATTATCCCTATGCTAGTGCTCAGGTTCCTTGGCCAACACATTTCTGTGTGATCTACATGTAAAGGCTGACATCTCTCTTCAGATATTTGCAGGCTCAAACTTGAAATCAAACACAGAAAAAACCCTGAATCTTCAAATGTTTTCACAGGAGTATGTACAAAAGTGCACCCATTTTAGGCCATCCAGTTACAGGGTTATACAGCTACCGATTGCACTGTCTGGGCTCCTGTGAGGCTGAGTCAATAATTTCTATCTGCAGCATCAGAAAAGGTCCTCACTGCTCAAGATGCACACTCAAGAACACACACACTTATGCACCTCAGGGAACAGACTAAAATGCTCACTCAAACAGGTGTCTTTACTGCCTATGCTTTGAGAATTGCCCATCACCATGTACCGCCACTTCCACCCCAATCCCACAGATGCTAAAAGATGTGACTGGGAAAAGCTGCCCAGGGTTTTAGTCCCTGGGGATGGATGGCAGACCCTGGGGAGAGGGCATCTTTTCTCCACCCCCGGTGGCTGCAGTTTGGGCACATGCAGGGCTTTGTCAGGCGCCACGGTAAGAGGTGGGCTCTAGCACAGAATTCTATTTCAACCGGTCACCTCCACTCCCACCCAGTTTCCATCGGGGGTCCCACAGGCAGGGCCCAAGAGTCTTAGCCTCCCCCAGCTCACTCTTTCAGAGAGACATGAGGTTCCCCACCTTACTCTGTCGCCACCTTGCCCGCCCTGGTGGCACTGGCTTACCAATTGAAGACATTCTGGACGACTTCGGGCACGGTAGAAGAGAGCTCCAAGTGGAATTCCGGGAGGGGAGTTGCGTTGTTGCCCTCCGAGAGCCATGTCCTGATGAGCAGCAGGAGCACAGCGGCTCGCAGCATCCCTCGGATGCCCATGGCCCCACCGCTCTGGGAGCCAGAGAGCGCTCAAGAGAGCCCACTGCCACAGGGACAGGGACAGGGACAGGGACAGGGACAGGGACAGGGACAGGGACAGGGACAGGGACAGGGTGGGGGCAGTGCAGGGCGAGAGGACGTTCGGGGGTCGCTAGGAGTCACCTCTAACGAGACAGTAGCGATTGTACTGGAAGCAGAGACGGCGGGAGGAGCAGGCCCCACAGCTCTTCTGCACGCATCACCTCTAGGACTCGTCAGGCCGCTGTGACTGTGGACTCTTTCTGCAGCCTTCCCACTGCCACTGAGCACCCAGCTGGAAACTCTACTGGTTCCACCCTCTCCGACAGCAGCACCAGCTGAACCAATCCCGCAGGTGCCAGGAGCGACACAAAAAGGAACCAGCTCTCATCTCCGCCCAGAATCTGCGG